TTCTTTCTTTCTTTCTTTCTTTCTTTCTTTCTTTCTTTCTCACAGCAAGGAAATTACCTGCAAAAAAATCTAAGGCTGGGTCTACACTACCCGCCTGAATCGGCGGGTAGAAATCGACCTCTCGGGGATCGATTTATCGCGTCCCGTTGGGACGCGACAATCAATCCCCGAATCGACGCTCTTACTCCACCAGCGGAGGTGGGAGTAAGCGCCGTCGATGGGAAGCCACAGAGGTCGATTTTGCCGCCGTCCTCACAGCGGGGTAAGTCGGCTGCGATACGTCGAATTCAGCTACGCTATTCACGTAGCTGAATTTGCGTATCTTAAATCGACTCCCCCCTGTAGTGTAGATGTAGCCTAAGTTACACTATAGCTAAAATGTTACATGCATTCAAGTCAGGAAAGACGAAGTTGTGAGGCCAGATTGTGCTGCCATTTAGTCCAGGGTAAAGCTGACTGCAATTTACACTGCAGTATTTGGCTGTGGTTCCCACCTCAGCCATAACCCAGACATGTTTGTTTCTACATTAGTAAGTTCCATGATCCTGTTCACATTACCTGAGTAGGAGCTATCATTTAAGGCAGGGTATTCATATTTATTTTGATAAGGTAATGGTGGTTGCCCCTTGCACAAAAGGCAAGGATACAGTTGCCCAAATCTTCCAGGACCTCTGCAACTTTTGGGGGCCTTCAGTGGAGACCTGAACTGTCCGGGTAGAGGTCCTATGCATTTGCAGGGGCTCTAGGGCCCTCCATCTCCCCCGTAAGGCAGCTCCAATGGAGCTATGCTGCTAGGGTTGTACCCTTCCACCTGGGCAGTGACTCAACATGGAGAGTCTCTGCTTCAAAGTTAAAGCAGCCTCAGATTCCATGCTACATTCTTTTCAATGAAAGTTGCCCATGGATTCCTTTTTATACTCACTTAACTGGGTTGCCACAATCGAGCCTCATGGCAATAAGAGAGCAGTTACAAGACCTCAGATTTAGGTTGATAAAGTAACAATGGGGACCCACATCCTCAGCCGTGACAACTTGACGTGGCTCCGCTGAAGTCAGCAAGCTTCACCACTTCATGGTTTGTAGCTGTGTCAGGCACACTGTCTGTCTGCACCGAAATCAACAGTGTGACAACAGCATACAGTGCAGACATACCCGAACCAGCTTTTATCTAGCTACCTCAAAGAACAGTCACTGGGAAAGTGCACAGGCTAGTCACGCGAGTCCATGCGCAGGGGGTCTTGGGAGGGTTTGTACAGCCTGTGTTGCCGCTGTGACTTCACTGCTTGGGAGATTGGGTTTGTGTGTGTGGAAATGAGCTGGCTGCAGTTCAATTCCACACCCTCACCCCGTGATTGTGATGGTGTTCTTATTTCTTAATACGGACATAACCTGCCAAAAGGATACTCAGCAAATGATAATACAGGTGTTGGATTTGGTCCTCATCTGGTGTAAATCAGTATAGTCACACTGAAGTTAATGAAGCTATGTTGATTTACCCCCAGCTGAAGATCTGGTCCGTTAAATTCAGGTCCATTTCAGTATGATTTTCACTAACCACTCACCTGTCTGACTAATGTTTCTCCAGGGAATTTCGAGAGTTTGCGAATGGTTCTGTGTGTGTGGAGTGTGATCCCCAGTGTGAGAAGATGGAAGATAACATGATCACATGCTATGGGCCGGTAAGCACAACATAAATACTTTGTAGCTGTAACCTGCTTAGTAAGTCTGCACTAGCATTTTTATAAACATCTGTTATTCTCCAATGGGACTTTCGCCATCATTTCAAATACATCAGCAGTAAATGGTGACAAGCAAAAGAAATTTCACACACCCACAGAACCTTCTTTTATCACTGTTGAGGGTTTTTTACCCCCTCCTATGTTGAGGTCAATCTTGTTCCCCTCCATGCCTTTAGTCTCCTAGAAAAATTCTGTCTTAAGCAATTGCATTCTGCCAACCCAGATTATCTGACTGGACAAGGAATTCCTCATGGCCATCCTTATAGCAGAATGAAATGTTGTTGGCACCACTTTAATGGTTGATGAGCCTCACCGAAAAGGCTTTTTGGTGGTGGGGAAAGTTAAGTGATCCTTATATTTTTGTCCTTTGTGGATAGCCCGAATAAAAGGCAGGAACCACATGGACAATTGAATACATACAGTCCCTCCCCCAGTATATGGAAAGAGCTTATATTTTGGGCTTTCTGTGGTTACAGATTGGCTGAGAGAACTTGGCTCATTATTTATTTTTGTGACTCACTGATTACAGAGTGTGCTATATAGACGATCACTATCTGTTTTATTATAATTTCTGCAGTTCACCCATTTGGGAAATTAATGACCTAAGTTTTCTACCAGTGTAGGAAATTTGGATTTGTAGCAGGCCACTGACAAGGCACTTGGTTTCTGCGTCTACAGAATTTCTTTGGTGAGAGATGGTAGCACCGTGCATAATTTTGCCTAACTCACTGTAGACCCAACTCCATTGGTTTTGGATGAGGCTTGTCATCAAGATCAGTGAACTTTCTTTCTTTATACTTCAGGAGACTTGATTTACAGTTTCTAACTTAAGGTCTCCCTGTGTAATAATGAAAATGAAATCCTCATCTCCTGGAGGGAGACGCAACAGAGGGGTATTGCTGGGACCAGAAATCACAGGCAAAATATGGTGTGGAGATAAGCCTGTGACACAAATGATCCCATCAAGGACCACTTTGTAGCTTCATTTAATATTGAGCAGCGGTATAGGAAAATTCCAGGACAAAAGGAAGTGGACATGAGGCATATAGAGGTGCATCCATCAAAAGCAACGAAACCAAACACTCCAGAAGCAGCGCTCTGCTAGTACTCTCTATGTAGTACATTTTCAGCATAGTGCCCCAGGATTTAGTTGTGTGCCTCTCATTAACTTTCCTCGGAGTCGCATGGCTAAATCCCCGTTCGTTACTAGGGAAATGTACCCCTCTCTCTTTGAGTGTACAGCACCCAGCATGTTGTCAACAGCTCTTGCGCGGTAACAAACGGTAGAGTAAATCTAATCCGCTGCATTTCTCTCCTGCTCCCCAGGGACCAGACCACTGCACCAAGTGTTTCCATTTTAAGGATGGCCCCAACTGTGTGGAAAAGTGCCCCGATGGCTTGCAGGGGGCAAACAGCTTCATTTTCAAATACGCCGATGAGGACCGTGAGTGTCACCCTTGTCATCCAAACTGCACTCAAGGGTAAGCTGGACTTCTGCAAATAGCAAGCTTTGCTATGTAGTGTTTATGTTAGGTAGTGGTTTTGTTTGGTTACCGCTTGGCCAGGAAAAGTGTTCATCGTTCCTGGCAGTCTGTGCATACATAGCTAGGACATCACCTTTGGTTTTAGGATCCAGAATCCAGTCATTAAGGTTTTGCATCTAATTAGTAGACTAATTAGCACCGCACTTTCAAACTTATCAGAATTGGTTCTTACAGCAGTGCTCTTGGCCCTCCCGATAACCAGCACTGGTATGGAAAGCGTTTCTAATATGCGTCCATGAAAGCTGGCATGTACACAGACACCATATTGAATATTTATTTATGCAGAGGCTTTTCTCACGGTGACTATCACCACATCTCAGCATCAATGGATTCGTGCCGGTGAGTCAAGGGCGCATTACTAATTCACAGATGGGAACTGAGGCAAAGGAAGATTAAGTGACTTGTCTAGGACCACACATCAAGTTTGCACCAGAGTTGGGAACTGAACTTAGATCTCCCGAGTCCCCACATCAACCACAAGACCGTCCTTCCTGCCAAGACCCAAAAGCAGTGGAGAGGGGAGGCAGCTGTGGCTTCCGCTTTCATCTTATAGAAAGTTGTTGCTATTGGGCATTTGCCTTACCTGTGCCATAGTCTGGCCCAATTCAAGAGCAAGTGCTGACCTGGCCTTTTCACCAACACACCCTCTTGTGAGCTGAGCCAAGAGACCAGCAGTTAGAAGTGGCAAAGGCAAAATGGGGACAGTTCAAAGTATCTATTATTAAAAACACTAGTAGGTAATTGAACATATTATAGTCCCCCTGTCATTCTTGTGGTCAGCAACACTTCTCCCACCTTCTCCTCACCCGAGATGGGCCCCGGGAGAGAAGAGTGGGAAGAATTTTCCTAATGGCGGCAGCTATCGGTTATAATGAATCAGTTTAAAAAAGTTTTCACATTCAGAAGAGAGGCAGTGTCCGAAGGTATGCATCCGAAGAAGTGGGCTGTAGTCCACGAAAGCTTATGCTCTAATAAATTTGTTAGTCTCTAAGGTGCCACAAGTACTCCTGTTCTTTTTGCGGATACAGACTAACACGGCTGCTACTTTGAAAAGTAGCCAGCAGTTCTGTTGATTTCACAAACTGGATTACAGTCCTTTTAAATGCATTCTTTCCCCCGCTCTGTTGTCACCTTTGAGACCATCCCTTTCCTTTGTCATTTGACTGAATTACTTGTTTCTCCCTCATGTTTCTCCTGTCCCCATCAATTGCCCTATCTGCTGAAGGCACCTGTTACCTGGTGCCGTGCTCTAAATTTTCAAAAGCAACTGAAGTGAAAAAACAGATTGACAGAGCCAGACGAGTACCCAGAAGTCACCTCCTACAAGACAGGCCCAACAAAGAAAACAACAGACCAGCACTAGCTGTCACCTTCAGCCCCTAACTAAAACCTCTCCAGTGCATCATTAAAGATCTACAACCTATCCTGAAAGATGATCCCTCACTCTCACAGATCTTGGGAGACAGACCTGTCCTCGCTTACAGACAACTCCGCAACCTGAAGCAAATGCTCACCAGCAACCACACATCACTGAACAAAAACACTGACCCAGGAACCTATCCTTGCAAAAAAGCCCGATGCCAACTCTGTCCACATATCTATTCAAGTGACATCATCATAGGACCTAATCACATCAGCCATACCATCAGGGGCTCGTTCACCTGCACATCTACCAATGTGATATAT